TACGGCTGCTGCTCGGAGCCCTACCCAGACGTCACCTACACGCTGCTGCTGAGGCGGAGGGCCTCCTTCTACGTCTTCAACCTCCTCCTGCCCTGCGTCATGATCTCCTTCCTGGCACCGCTGGGCTTCTACCTGCCGGCCGACTCAGGCGAGAAGGTGTCCCTGGGGGTGACGGTTCTGCTGGCCCTGACCGTCTTCCAGCTGCTGGTGGCGGAGAGCATGCCACCCTCCGAGAACGTGCCCCTGATCGGTGAGTAGAGTGCCAAGGCCCCAGCTCCGGATCCCAGGATCACCAGGGGGTCTAAGGGGGTCGCCCCCAAAGTGCCTTCCCCAAAAAGGTCAGGGATTCATTATGTCTCGTTTGATGGAGAGAAGGACCGGGGGGTGGAACAGCAGGAGAGCAGCCTTCCAGTATCTCAGGGGCTGCCCCAAGGAAGAGGGAGTCAAGCTCTTCTCCAAAGCCCCAGAAGAGGCAGGACTAGAAGCAATGGAGGGAAACTAACCAAGGAGAGAAGCAACCTGCAACTCAGGAGGAATTTCCTGAGAACAATGAACCAGTGGAACTGCCTGCCACCAGAAGTTGTGGCGCTCCGTCGCTGGAGGTTTTTAAGAAGAGACTGGACAGCCACTTGTCTGAAGTGGTCTTGTGTTTCCTGCCTGAGCAGGGGGTTGGACTAGAAGATCTCCAAGGTCCCTTCCAACTCTGTTCTGTTCTGTTCTGTTGGCAAGCGTGAAAAACCAACACGGTTATTGTTAAGGCAACTGGACTTCCTTGGCTTTTTTTCCTTGAAAATGTTTCACCTCTCATCCAAGAAGCTTCTAATGGTTAGAACTGAAGAAGCTTCTTGGATCAGAAGCAAAACCTTTTCACAGAGGAAGCCAAGAAAGTCCAAATGCCTTTGGGGGGAAGCCCCTTTGGGACAGCCATGGCCTGGAAACGCAACGGCCCCCCACCAAGGAGGGCTCAGAAGCCAACTATGACCCAAAATGGAGGCGACCTCTTCTGCCCCCGTGGCCAACTGCCTTGACAGACTGAGAGTGTGTCTGAGCGCGGGATTGGCCAAGGGCAGCAGCGGCCATCTGGGGAAGGAAGGGCCATCTGAGGTGGGGGGCAGCAATGGGGACACGCAGTGGGGGTAGCCTTCGCCTCTCATGGGGGCCACAGGTTCTTATCCCTCTCCAGGAGAGTGGGCTCCAAAACGCCAAGGAAGCCAACACACCTCTACCTGAATGCAGGATAACAGAGTTGGAAGGGACCTTGGAGGTCTTCTAGTCCGACCCCCTACTCAGGCAGGAAACACAAGACCACTTCAGACAAGTGGCTGTCCGGTCTCTTCTTCAAAACCTCCAGGGATGGAGCAGCCACAACTTCTGGTGGCAGGCGGTTCCACTGGTTCATTGTTCTCGCTGTCAGGAAATTCCTCCTTAATGAAGGAAATTCCTCCTTCATTCCAGGGTTGCTTCTCTCCCTGACTGGTTTCCCTCCGTGGCTGCTTGTCCGGCCTTCGGGGGCTTCGGAGGTTGTCCCCCTCCTCTCTGGGGAAGCCCCTCAGATATCGGAAGATGCTGTCATGTCCCCTCTGCGTCTTTCCATTCACTTCCTTCCGGCCTTTCCCCAGGGAAGTGTTTTATTTTTATTTTTATTTATTTCCAGGGAAGTACTACATCGCCACCATGACGATGATCACGGCCTCCACCACCCTGACTATCTTCATCATGAACATCCACCACTGTGGCCCTGGGGCCAGGCCCGTCCCCAGCTGGGCCCGCAAGGTCATCCTGCGGTACATGGCCCGCATCTTCTTTGTCTACGAAGTGGGGGACAACTGCAAGAGCCCCCCGCAGGAGCTGGACCCGCGGCCCCAGGTCCAGAGGGCTGACGGTGAGGAACCCCCGGGGCCTGGGCCCCTCCCCAAGGAGGCAGAGCCTGAGGAACAGCCGCCTTGCCCCAGAAAGACGTGTTGGTGCCACCAGGAGAGCATCCTTCAGAACGTGGACTACATCGCCAGCTGCTTCCGGGAGCAGAAGGCCGCGTCCAGGAGGACAGGGGAGTGGAAGAAGGTGGCCAAGGTGATGGACCGCTTCTTCATGTGGACCTTCTTTGCTATGGTGGCCATCATGAGCATCCTGGTCATGGGCCAAGCTGTGTGATGCACGGCACCCATGAGGAGGCTGGGAAAGGCAAGGGAGGACCCACGCCTAAAAAAGCGTGTGAGTGAGCGGAGGGGTGGCTGACAGCTGTCCGGGGTGAAGAACCAGGAGCCCTCGCTAAGTTCATAGCACATAAAGAGTTTATTGTTATTGACTATACCCAAGAATCCGTTCAACCAGCGGTCAAAGCTAAATGGGCACCAGATGATGAGGGTCAACAGAATTCACGGGGAGCTGGGCTTGGTTCTCTTGCGGCTTTGCAAAGATTCTAAACTGATGGCATATTTGACCCCACCTTCCACCTCAGCCTGCTCAGTCCTACAACAGCCTTGCAACAGCTTTCCCAGCCTGGTGAATCGTGCAACCTCTCCTGGCTGTTGTTTGGAGTTTTAGGAGCATCTGCAGATCAGTCCTAATTGAGTCGAAGGGAACCCCAGTATGTCCTTGGGCTGCAAGGGGATACTGGGGTTCCCTTACTGGGATACTGGTGGTGCTGCTTTACAGGGCGCAGATGCACGGAGTTGCAAAACGGGGGTTGGTGGCATCGCACTTCGGCTCCTGCATGGGGCTGGTTCCAGCCAGATAGAGATTCCATCTGTAGTAAGATACGAGGAATTCCTGCCCAGCCCTCGGTTCCTTTGGAGGCCGGATGAAGAGGGGCAGGAAGAAATGAGTGACGTGACTGCCATGGATGAATGTGTCCATGGAATATGGAAGAGAATCTTTGTAGCTCAGGATTGAACTGTGAGGATCCTGGGTGCTCTCTGAACTTGGTGTTTTCTTGTAGACGTTTCATGACCCAACTAGGGAACGTCATCAGTTGCTAGCAGCAGGCCTCCATGAACAAAAACCAACCGTCAGAAGGCCCGATGGAATCTCTTTCATTGCCCAAGAGACAGGTTTAACCAAAGTCTGAGTTGGGAAGATGAGCATCCCAGGCCAGACCAAGTTGAAAAATGTGAGAGAATTCCTGGAAGCCTGCCACTCAGACAAATCGGCCATCAACAGGCACATAGAGACGCACAACGTCTACATGCCATTGGAAAGAGAATACAAAGGGAGCCTTGGAGGTCTCCTAATCTAACCCAGGCAGGAAACCCTGAACCATTTCAGACCAATGGCTGTCCAATCTCTTCCAGCGTTGAAGCATTCACACCTTCTGGTCACAAGCTGTTCCACTGGTTAATGGTCCTCACAGTCAGGACATTCCTCCTTTAGGCTCCGGGTTGCTTCTCTCCTTGATAGGTTTCCATCCTTTGCTTCTTGTCCTGCTGCCTTCAGGGGCTTTGGAAAATAAGTTGACCCTCCTGTTCTTCAGAAAACCAAAAAAGGAAACAAGAAACGCCCCCCAAACAGCTCCTTGTCGGCAATCAACACTCAGATGAGCAGAGTTGAACACTAGACCAACAATCAACAAGTAAGTGAAACCCCAATCAGGAAACTATCAACTCAACAAACAATCAACAAACAGTCTAATCAAAGCTCCAACAAGAACCTCCCACCAACACGGGCAGGAAAAGCCGAGAGCAAACCCCACTCCTTTCTAACACTGATGATGTTCCCTAGTTGGGTCATGAAACGTCTGTAAGGAAACAGCCAAGCTCTCCCTCACAGGAGTTAATCTCCCTGTGGTTGGATTCACACAACACCTGGGACCAGGTCTGTTAACCTTGGCTTGCCTTTCCCAGGTGCCTTTCCATTCCAGCCTGGCTAATTACTTTGGGGTTCATTGAATTTCCAGATCTGGGAAATGGGTTAATTCTGTAGCGAAGTATTGCACAATTGGGGTCAGAGAGAGTGACTTTGGGGGACCATTCCAGAAGACCGAGTGTTTCTTCACATTGGCACCTTGCCAGCCTGTCCCATAATATCAGTTCTCATTTATAGACTTTGGGTGACCAGGCCAAATTCCTTCAAGAAATGGCCACTGTCAGTCACCGACAGTCATTTTGGCGGTGGTCATCTGAAGCTTCTTCTAGGAACAATTCTGACGTTTCACGATCGCCTCTTCTGAAGACAGAGAGTTCTCCAGCTCCTAATTTGCACAATTGAAGCTTTAAAGCAGGAAGGGGGTCCAACCGTGGCAACTTTAAGACCTGTGGACTTCAATTCCCAGAATTCCCCAGCCAGTTATACTGTGTGGACCTGTGGACTTCAACTCCCATTCCCAGAATTCTTAGATGACTTGGGAATATGCCGCCTTCAGTCCAACCTAAGTGTCGTATATAAAATTATCCCTTGCAATGTCCTACCCATCAGTGACTACTACTTCAGCTTCAACCATAACAATACAAGAGCACACAACAGATACAAACTCGGGGTGAACTGCACCAAACTCGATGGCAGGAAATACGATTTCAGCCACAGAGTGGTCCATGCCTCGAATGCCCCACCTGTGGTTTCTTCCCCAAAACTTTAACCGTAGACTGTCTATTGTTGACCTCCCCCCATTCCTAAGAGGTCTGTAAGGGCACCAACGTGCCTCCCGTCCTTTTAGTCGTACCCATTTCATGTACTCATAATCATGTTCTAATGATATCTGTTATCCAATACAGGCTTGACCAACAAATAAAAATAAAATAAAAATAAATTCCCCAACCAGCAATACCAGGTTGAGAAACAGTGGACAAGGGCGGGAGTCTCCAACCTGGGCCACTTTTAAGATTTGTGGACTTCAACTCCCAGAATTCCTCAGCCGGCAAAGCTGAAGTCCACAAGTCCTAAAGCGGCCCAGGTTGGAGGCCCCCGGCACTGGGTGATTTTTCTGGCCCCTTCCAACTCTATCATTCCTGACTGGCTGGGGAATTCTGGGAGTTGAAGTCTTCAAATGTTGCCAGAGTTGGACATCCTTCCTTTAGTAAAACGGAGCAAGGAAGCGCCATCTCTTGGCTCCCGCAAGCCATGCCGACTGGCCTCCTCTTCTGCTGCCGCTGTTGCTGCTTCTGGATTGTCCCCGTCAGGAAAGGGTGGGCAGACCTTCCCCAGAGGTTTAATCACAGGAGTCCTGGGGGTCCAAGGAGGCCCACAGCCAGGAGGGGACCCCAGAGGAGGAGTTTCGGGGCTCGGTCTCTGATGGAGAAGGGGCTCCAGCCTCCATCTGCCCAGAGAAAGGAAGACACGTTGGCTCCTGCCCAACCACACCCTGCCCTCCCTCCCCCCCCCCCCCCCCCCCCCCCCCAGCCAAAAAGACAGAAAGCCCCCCCACTGCGTGACCTCCATCGCAAGCGGCCTCTGCCACCCCTGGCAAGGACCGCCTTCGGGGCTGTGAACACCTGTGGGGAGGGTGGGATGAGGACAGACCCTCCCCCAGCCCCTCTGGCCAGGGATCGGCCCCTTCTTCCCCAGACCTGCTCGGGCCCGCAACTCTTCCAACAAGGGAGAGGAGGGGGAGCAGGCAGGAGGAGGCCTGGCCAGTTGGGGTTTGCTACTGGTTGGGCGCAGCTTGCCAAAAAGCCTCCCGCGATCAGCCGAGAGGAGGAAGAAGAGAAAAGCTCAGGGACGCAGGTCAGGTATGCATGCACACACACGATCCCCGAACTGATAGTGGAACAGGGAGGATCCCACTGGAGGGCGTGGCTTATGCTCGGGTGCCAGTTTCTCCGTACCAGTCAGTTTCCGTCACTTTCCCTCTTCCCTTCCTCCCTTGAAATAAGAATCCGTTTAGTTTCTTAGGATGCGACTGGCCTCGCCATCCCTCTGCCCTAAAGGCTTCCCAGACGTTTCTTTATCCATGTGCTTTTAAGGGAAAGGTGGGTGACGAGGAGGGGACACCACCCTGGAGTTCCCCAGACAAGAATCCTGAAGCCCATCCATCCCTTCCCCGCTTCAGTGCCTGATGGTTGATGTGCTCCCTGTGACTGATGATCTACTGAACGGGAGGATACCGGTTGTGGCCTGTTGGCCATTGGCCCCTCCAGCGGCCGAATCAGGGGAGGAGGGGGAGTCAGGGCCAGCCTCGGGGCAACCTGAGAGCTCCGAGGAGGAAGAGGGGATGGAGCTGGCACACAGACCGAGACGGAGGCGGAGCCTGGGCTGTCTATCAGCCCTCAGATGGAGAGTCAACAGCCGCCGGGTCTGGAGGGGGCTGATACGGAAGAGGGGGAACAGCCGGGCCCAGCGCCTGACGTGCAGATGCACAGAAGGCAGAGGAGAGGAGAGCAGTGGAAACCTATGGGCCGGTCCTTGGGATGGAAGAGCCAGGTCTGGAGAGGGCTGATGTGGAAGAGGAGGAACAGCCAGGCCCAGTGCCTGACGTGCAGATGCACAGAAGGCAGAGGAGAGGAGAGCAGTGGAAATCTCTGGGCCGGTCCTTGGGACGGAAGAGCCAGGTATGGAGGTGGCTGATGTGGAAGCGGAGGAACAGCCGGGCCCAGTGCCTGACGTGCAGATGCACAGAAGGCAGAGGAGAGGAGAGCAATGGAAACCTATGGGCCGGTCCTTGGGACGGAAGAGCCACAACTGCTAGCGAAGCCCCATCCTAGCTCTGGGGATAAAAGGCAGGGGGAGGAGCCAAATAAGTGTGGCACACAACTATTCCTCTCCCGGCTGGACGGAGGGACTGGTTAGCCTGAGGCGAGAGAGGAACTTTTTGGCGGGGCCCCTCATAACGGGAATATTGATTTAAATACAGAGGGTTTGTCGTGTTTGGGAGCCGGGTCGGAACGATACCAGTCACCGGCTCACTCCCAAGTCAGGGAAATGCCCTGGAGCGAGGAGAGAAACCCAGCACTGTGGGGTGAGGAAGAGACGGGGAAGCGGGGGGGGGGGGGGGCATGGGGGGGGGGGGGGGGAGCCCCAGGCGAGCAATTCAAACGGGGACAGGAGAGCCGCCTTCCCTCACCTGACTTGAAGGGGCATTTCTGCATCTTGCACTTTTTCTCTGCAAACATAAAAGAAAGTTGAGAGTGGAAACCGGTTCAGATCGCTGGCCTTTTTAATGGGAACATTGGCCTGGCCCCAGAGGATTCTGGGAGAGCGAAGAGGAGCCATGGAGAACGGGGCTTGAGCGACGTCGTTCCAAAGGTGCTTCCCCTCCCCCACCTTCCAAAGGGAACTGGGCTTTTTTGTCTTTGAAAACATTTCACTTCTCCCCCAAGAAGCTTCTTCAGTTCTAACTTCAGTTTTGGAAAAAAAAGCCCCTTTGGGACAACCTGGATGACTGATACAGATTTCCCTACTTGGACTAAGTACAGCTGTGTGAAAAAGTCCTGCGCGCTTGACGGTTTATGGTTTATGACATTTTTTGGATAGGCCATTGATTTTATGATATTTTATGCTAACCGCTATGCAAATATTGTTGTATTTAAATAAATACTGGTGGTTTTTAAGTGAAAAGCATCAGCTTTTTGCAATTTGGTGCTGTTTGGATGGGGATGGTGAATTTCCTTGCATGCTTACAATGACTTTGAAAACAGATTAACTGATGCAGCCCCAGTGGCCTACGTGTTGCAATTACTAAGGCCGATGCTCGTGTTTTGTTAACACTTTTATTGTTTGTGGGCCAGAAAAGGACCATTTAGGTAACCAAACATGGTTACTAACATGAAATTGGCCAGCCCTTATTGCTTATCACCAAAAAAATGTCTTAAACCCTAAAGCGTGCAGGACTTTTTCACACAGCTGTATCTCTTGCAGGGCAAGATCTGGAGATGTGGAGAGACCACCTGGCCCAGAGGATCGCTAAGGGCCAGACATGACCGAATGGATCTCCTCCCCCTCCTCCTCCTCCTCCCCCTCCTCCTCCTCCTCCTCCATCTACCTGGTGTTTTAGCGGTTACCTTTCACAAACACGCAGTTGTAGACGCTTTCGTCTTCAAGCGAGAGGAGGTGGATGAAGTTGGTCTCCTGCCCCCGGGTGAAGTTGACCACCTTGAATTTCTCAAAGGGAGGGATGAGGACCTCTTCCTCGCCCGGGAAGAAGGAATAATTCTTGATGTTGACCCCGTAGCAGGTCTCGATGGTGAAGAAGCTGTCCGTGCCAAAGCGCAGGGCGCTCTCGTTGCTCCGCGAGGATGAGGTGAATTGCCCAAAGCGGACCAGCTTGGCGCGCTCAGAAGTGAAGCGGACGCTCTTGACCCCCCGGTAGACCTTGTGGCACCGGGGCTCGGCGGTGATGCCCAGGAGGTGAAGGGCTCGCGTCAGGAGGAAGTGGAAGGCCTTGAAATGGAAGCGGTGGAGGTAGTCGTCCCTGGTGCGCCCGGCCTCCCTCACAGCCGCGTTGAAGTCCCTGTGGAAGCGGCCTTGGACGGTGTAGGCCATGAGGGCCACGGCATGCTCCGGCTTCAGGCCAGAGGGCTCCGGGAGGGAGGCCGCCTTCTCCTTCCACATGGAGGCCGCCTCTGACCAGGCGTCGGCGTAGACTCTGTTGGTGGCGAACTCTGTGCGGTTCAGCTCCTCCACTTCTGCTTCCATCAACTCCACGCAGCCCTTGTACTGGTCATCGAAAGACGTCAAGGCCATGTTGAGGTGCACCTCCTTGGTGGGGAAGAGGTCTCGCCTTACTTTGAAGGAGGAAGCGAAGACCTGAGGCAGGAGAAGGACCTGAATGGGCAGAAGGAAGCCGGGGGCCCAGACTGGGCGGGTTTTTAAGGTTATGGGGCAAACTGTACTGCTTTGAATTGAATATTTTTCATAAAGGAAAGGAGAGGGGAGGAGAGAGAAGAGAAGGGAAGAGAAGGGAAGGGAATAATATGGAAGGATGGGAAAAGGAAGGGAAAAGAAGAGAGAAGAGGAGAGGAGAGGAGAAGAGGAGAAGAGAAGAGAAGAGAAGAGAAGAGAAGAGAAGAGAAGAGAAGAGAATAATAGGGAAGGGAAGGAAATAATATGGAAGGGGAGGGGAGGGGAGAGGAGAAGGGAAGGGAAGGGACGGGAATGATTGGTGTAGAGTCACCCAAAGTCCCTCTCCATGACTGACATGGATCTGAATCCAAATTCCCCAATTTTAGATTCAAAACTTCATCCCAATATCCTGGTGGGCGATTTAAAAAATCCTACACTGAACTCTGATTGGGGGATTGTTCTTATGTACCTCAAGATCCCTGCATGGTTTCCCTGGGCCTGATAAAAGTGTCGCTCCGTTATGGATTTTGGAAGAGTTACACGTCAGGGCTTTTGCTGTCAGACGTTTTCCCGTCCTACCTGAACAGGCCCGATAACCAGCCACATCAAGCACAGTCCCAGGCGCTTCATTCTTCCCGCCTTTCAAAGCAAAACAGAGAGATCGTCATTCCTGTTATTCCTGCCTTCATATGCCCAAACAGAACAGAACGGAATAACAAGAGTTGGGAGGGACCTTGGAGGTCATCTAGTCCAACCCCCCCCCTGCTCAGGCAGGAGACCCCAGACCATTTCAGACAAATGGCAGTCCGGTCCCTTCTTAAAAACCTCCAGTGATGGAGCAGCCACAACTTCTGGTGGCAGGCAGTTCCACTGGTTCATTGTCCTGCTGTCAGGAAATTTCTCCTTATTTCTGGATTGTTTTTCTGCTTGATAAGTTTCCACCCATTGCTTCTGGCCTTCAGGGGCTTTGGAGAATAGCTTGACTGCCTCTGCTTTGGGGCAGCCCCTCAGATACTGGAAGGCTGCTCCCCTGTCTCCCCTGGTCCTTCTCCTCCCTAGACTAGCCAGGCCCGGTTCCCGCAACCGTTCTTCATCTGTTTGAGCCTCCAGTCCCCTAAAATCCTCCCGGTTCCTCTTCTCTGCCCTCTTTCTTTTTCATAGTGTGGTGACCAAAACTGGATGCAGAATATTCCAAGGGTGGCCTTCCCAAGGCCTTATAAAGTGGTACTGATAGATCACGTGATCTTGATTCTACGTGACATAAAAAAGAGACCCGGGTCCTTCTAGGTCCTTCTCAGGATGCCCCTTCCCACCCAGCCACCCACCCACACCCAACTCTCAACCCCATTCCACCGAAAAACGAGGAAGGCTCAGAAAAATCGGAATTGGTTTTTACTGGAATTAGGGGGTTCCACACAGGTGAGCAAACCACCTTTGGCAGGTGCTGTCTAGATTTGAAGGCTCACAGAGCCGCCTCCCTTTTGTTTGCCATTTGTTAATTTTTCTCTCAGTGGGCATGCCAAATATGGCAGTGAATTAAATCAATAAATATCCACAAGGAGGCTGCTGAGCAATTCTTCCAAATACTCAAAACGTGGTTTTCCTAAACTCTTTCCAACTCCTGCTTAGGGGCAGGTCGAAGATCTTCCTGCCTGAGGAGGAGAAGAATTATTAAGGAGTTTTCAGGGTGGCCCAAACTGGGGTTAAGGGAAGGGGAGAAGTTTACCTCTCTTTCTACGGACCGGGAACGGTGGGGCTCCGTGGCTCCGTCCGCTTCCCTCCTTCCAGCCCTGGCTCGGTGGCTCTTCTCAGCTGTGGGAGGCCATCAATGTGACAGGTGGGCAGTCAGAGGGCGCTTTTTATAGACCCAGGCTAGAAACCCTTGTTGCACCTGGGTTATTTATACCCAGTGGTGTTGTACACAAGGACATCTGGAGCAATACTGACTTTCAAAACAAGGGGAAGGAGAAGACCAGGAGCCCCCCCTCCTTTAACCCCACCTGCCCCAAACAGTTGCACGACAGATCTGGAGAGACACTGGGAATTATGGGAGTTTAATCTATGTGGGTCCTTCCCTCTGTATTTTACCCTCAGCTGTGGGACCCACCACTCTGGTTGCATAGACGCCTCCGACCTCTGGTGCAAACGCCATTGGGAGCAGGTTCTCATTTCCAGAACATTTGATTGGCGGTGCTTGGTGATCTCTGAGCTAGGTGGTTTTCTTGCAGACATTTCGTGACCCAACTAAGTAACGTCAATCACCAGTGCTAAAAGAAAGTGGGGTTTGTGGAGGGAAGAGGAGAAAGGAGAAGAACAAAAGAGGTTTTGGTGCTCTCTGAGTTTGGTTGTTTTCTTGCAGACGTTTCATGACCCAACTAGGGAGCATCATCAGTGCTGACGAGTGTGGGTTTTGCCCCATTGTAGCTGGCCCCTGTAGCTGGCCCTGGCAGTATTGATGGGAGCATGAGTTCCTCCTTTATGCTTTCTTGAGCAGAATATTGTTTTCTGCTTGATGGTTTGTCTGGAGTGGATCCCGGCTTCTCCGGTGTGGGCTGCTGAAGAGGGTCTGGGCTGGTCTTTTCATTTCCTTCCTAACTTCTTGGCTCTCTCTTTGGAACGGCGTGTAAAGGTGCTTTATCTCTGTGGGACGTGTGATTTGACCGAATGCCAAGCCTGTGAGCGTTTTTGGATGTGGCTCTATCTAATCTACGAATCGTTTCTGAGCTGAATCCATCGAACTGCATGTATGTACCCTCATTTCCCCACATTTATAGGTGTGACCGTGGGTGCAAAGATAACAGTGGAAATCTCAATTTGTAACCCTTGCCCCCCAATACAGAATAATAGAACCATAGAGTTGGAAGGGACCTCGGAGGTCTTCTAGTCCAACCCCCTGCTCAAGCTAGAAACTCTAGGCCATGTCAAATGGCTGTGATGAAGCTCCCACAACTTCTGAAGGCAACTTCTGTTCCATCGGTTGATTGTTCTGTCAGGAAATTCCTCCTTATTTCCAGGTTGAATCTCTCCTTGGTCAGATTCCATCCATTGTTCCTTATCTGGCCTTCAGGGGCTTTGGAGAAGAGCATGACCCCCTTCCTCCTCTCCGGGGAAAGCCCCTCCCTCAAATATTGGAAGATGCTCTCCTGTCTCCCCTGGTCCTTCTCTTCCCTAGACTAGCCAGGCCCAGTTCCTGCAACCGTCCATCGTAGGTTTGAGTCTCCAGTCCCCTCAACATCCTGGTTGCTCTTCTCTGCACTCTTTCTAGAGTCTCAACATCTTTTTATAATGTGGTGACAAGAACTGGATCTATAATATGTAAACACCAAACTTTATCGCGTTGCATAAAAGAATAAAAAAGGTGAACATTTGGTATGTGTTTATTTATTTATCAAGGCAACTCTGAGCAGCTTACAGCTTATAGCAAGACCAGTGAGGTGGGCAGTGTGCAGCGGAGAGCGGTTGCTTTATTGATTGATTTGCTGGAAATCCTCCCCAAACTGTCCTTCCTCCTCTGTTCCGAAGCAAGAAAACCTCAGGCCAGGAGAAACTGTGAGGCTGCAGCTTCCTCCTCCTCCTCCTCCTCCTCCTCCTCCCTCCTCCTCCTCCTCCTCTTCAAGTGCATTTGCAAGAATAGCGCAACTACGGCAGGACCGGCCTACGGAGCCGTCCCAGTGTTGCCCAAAAGGGCACCCGTCCCTTTTGGGCCCCTCCCCACCCCCCAGGGAAACCTCTGGGAAGGGGTCTGGATTGTCCCCCCAAAGGATGGCTGATTCCCAAAGCTGGTGGCCTCCGTGGTGGTCCAAGAGGGGCCACGGCCGTCCTTTCCCAGGCGTGAGAGCTAGGAAGGGCCCTCCTGCCCAACGCAGCTCAGGATTCTGCTGCCTGCCCGGCCGCGTCTTCTGTCTCCTCTTGGGGCTTGTACTCCGGAATGCCCGCCTCGGCCTCGGCCTCAGCCTCCTCCTCCTCCTCCTCAGGCCCCACCACGACCACCACCTCCTCCTCCCCCTCCTCCTCCCCCGCTTCGCCCCCCGTTTCACCCTCTGCCTGTCCCACCACCTGGCGCTCCTTCTCCTCCCGAAGTATTGGCAACATGTCCTCCATGGCCAGGGGGACGTCCTGGTGCACCACCACTTCCACGGGGGAGCCCTGGCTCTCGTTCCCCGTCTCCGGCTCGTAGTTCTGGAAGCTGTCGCGGACTTTCATGATGTACTTGCGCAGCACGCTGGCCCCATCCAAGGGGTTGTTGCCCACCCCGCTGGTGGCCACCGACTGCCGGAGGTGCTTCATCTCCGTGTGGAGACGCAACACCGACTTGTTCAACTCGGTCAGGCGGTTCCCCAGATCTGAAAGGGAAGGAAAGGAGAGAGCTGGTCGTCAGGTTTCCAAGGGATGAAATCCGTTTGAAAAGAAAAGAGCCAAGTCCGTCTTCCAAAACAATTTCTTTGATTTAGGTAAAGCCTCAAATTGGCAAAGTCTGTTGTCATTCCGGATCTGACCCAACCCAGAATTACCCCACGTAATATTGGAAGTTAGAAACAGTCCCCCAAAGTCACATTCCCCAAATAGAAGTAAATCAACGTTTGCCTGAGGTCCTCAATCTCCACCTCCAGGTCTCAGCAGGGCCGGCTTTCGTTCCCACGGGAAGAAGAACCACCTAACCTCAACAACTCTCTCTCACCCCACTCCTCCCTCCTTAGGAATGTGGCAAACCCCAAACCCCCCCCCAATAACCAGCAAAGGGAAAGAAAGGAATTTATAATAAGGCTAAATAAAATGGCTACCCGTAGGTCAGTTTCGAGCTTGACACTGGTGGACAGCGGAGAAGGCCCAGACCTCACGTCCCACCCCAGAGGCAGCCCCCCCTTCACCTAATCCCCCCACCCTGAGGCCATCTATTGAAACACCCAAACCCTGGAAACATCCGAGTGGCCGCCGGGTGAGCTGTGCCCGGGGCTTCCTCTGCCAGGAACCCTTCGGTTTGAGGCACAGAGAGAGGGGCGTCTCTCACAGGCTTGGGGGCCACCAAGAAGGGAAGAAGCACAGGTAGTCCTTGACTTATGACCACAACTGAGACCCACATCTCTGGAACTAAACAAGACCGTTGCCGAGTGAATCACTCATAAAATATTTCTCTGGTCTTTTAGAGTTGCCAACAGAAAGGGAGGCAGTGCAGCAGCTATCAAAACCGAAACTGCATTCCATAAATGTTTTTGAAGATAGGAGCTTTAGAAAATGGCTTGACTCCCTTCCTCCTCCCTGGGGCAGACCCTCAAATATTGGAAGACCGCTATCCTGTCTCCCCTGGACTAGCCAGGCCCAGTTCCTGCAACCGTTCGTTGTATGTTTTAGCCTCCAGTCCCCTCATCCTCCTGGTTGCTCTTCTCTGTACTTTTTCTAGAGTCTCAACATCTCTTTTTTATGATGTGGTGACCAAAACTGGATGCAGGACTCTAGGTGTGGCCTTACTAAGGCTTTACAGAGTGGTATTAGTACCTCCCTTGATCTTGATTGTATCCCTCTGTTAATACAACTCAGTATTGCATTCGCTTTTTTGGCGGTGGCTGCACACTCTCAGGGGTCCCTGACCCCCTGCCCAGGCAGCAGCCAGGTGTCCGGCCACAACCCATTCCGACCCCGCCCCCCCGGCTCACCTTTCCTCCGGCTTTCCTCCAGCTCCCGCCTGGCCGTGTCGATGTAGCGCTGCACCAGAGCCTTCAGTACTTGGCGCTGATAAGAGAGGCGGGTTTCGGTCCGGGTGCCCCCTTCCTCCACCGAGGGGTTGCTCTGGGAAGTCAAAGGGCATTGCAAGCTTATTTGATTGGCACCCAGGAAGCCGGCTGGAAATAGAGCCAGCGGCCCTGAGTTCCATACAGTTCCCGCAGGACAATTCCCGCCCCCCCATTTCCCCTTTTCTAGACTTTATCATTACCTAACTTATTCAGATTTACACAAAGCATACACATTCATTTGTGGGGTTCTCGGTGGTCTCTGAGCGTGGCTGCTTTCTTGCTGAGTGGTGTTTGCTCTCTGTTTATGTATAAGCAGCCTGCTTGCAGAGAGAAAGTCCCCCTCCCTTCTAGGACTGATGATGTTCCCTAGTTGGGTCATGAAACGTCTGCAAGAAAACAGCCAAGCTCAGAGAGCACCCAGGACCCCCACAGTCCTCCTCCTCCTCCTCTCCACAAACTCCTCTCCCCTCTAGCATGGATGACGTTCCCTAGTTGGGTCCTGAAACGTCTGCAAGGAAAACCACCACCCAGAGAGCCCTCAAGGCCCTCACAGTTCAACCCTGAGCTATAAATATTTTCTTTTATTGGTAACAGGCTTCGTTTAAGGACTCAGGGGGACACCAGCACACGTGCCCTCGGAAACTCTGAAAGGGGAACTTACGATGGTGTTGATCGGGGGATATTTCTGGCTCTTCTTGGATTTGTGACAGCACAAGAAGCGAAAGAAGCCCCTGGAAAGGTTTATAAAAAACCAGGAGAGAAGAATTGGCAAGGGAGTCTCTGAGGTTGGTTCCTTGCACACTTGGGGGGGCCCAAAGGACCCCCAGGATGGTCGGCGGCAGGTTGGATCACCACTACCCCTTTCCAGGACGCCAGTGAGGGGGGAACCCTCTTAACCCCCAAGGCCCCCGGAGGCCCTGCCTACCGTGAACCAAGGGGGCTTTCCCAAGACCCCCCTCCCCAAGGCTCCCCGAGTTACCCCTGGCCGTGCGGGGGGGTGCAAGTTGAATCCAGCGTGCAAGTGGAGCCCACACTGGGCCCTCTGCCCTCCGGGGAGACAGGGGAGGGGGAGGGGCAGGGGGCCTCTTCAGGCGAGCGGACAGCCGACCTCTTCCGCGTCCCCCCTACCGGATGGCGTAGAAGGTGGACTTGGGCGTCGGGATGATGTTGAAGGGGACGGGCAAGGTTAAACCTTCCCTGAAGAAGGACAGGTAGAGTTTTGAGCGGGCAAATTTCCACTCTACGTCGGCGTCATTCTGTGGGAAAGTAGGGAGGGGAGAGGCCCGTAAATAAATGAGACACGGAGGGGGTGGGGGGAGGAGAACCCATCAGGTTTTCCCAGAATAACAGAAAGGACCTTGGAGGTCATTTAGTCCAACCCAGGGGGTGGGATTCTACCGGTTCGGACTGGTTCTCTAGAACAGGTTGCTATGAACCGGCAAATCAGGTCCCTGGCTGGCCCTGCCCCTCCCCGCCTGCCCCTCCCAGTCAGTCCTGACTGCGCATGCCCACCATCGCTGTGTTCTCCCCCACCCCGTCACTCCTGAGGGTATTTCCTCCCCCCCCTCCCAATGACCAGCTGTTCCTATGATCCGCTGTGCCGGGACCCCCCTCACTGTCTTCCTGCTTCTCCCAGGGGGCTTCCCTGAGGCCCAGGAAGGCAAAACATGGAGGGGGGGGGCATAGTCTCCCCCACCCGGCTCCATTTTTCTCCGTCCTGAGCCCCAGGGAAGATTTCTGGGAGCAAAAACTCCCCCCCCCCCGCGGCTTCCCCCTGACGCCCAGAACCCCCCAAAAACGGGGGGGGGGGGGCGGTGCTGCAAGAAAACAACCAGTCACGTGGCCACGCCCACAGAACCGGTTGTTAACCAATTTGAATTCCACCCCTGGTGCAACCCCCTGCTCAAGCAGGAGTCCCTAGACCAGGGGTCTCCAAGTTTGGCCCCTTTAAGACTTGTGGACTTCAACTCCCAGAATTCCCCAGCCAGCTTTGCTGGAGACCCCTGACTTAGATGACCCTTCTGGTCTCTTCCAACTCTATCATTCCTGGCTGGCTAGGGAATTCTGGGGGTTGAAGTCCACAAGTCTTAAAGGGGCCAAGGCTGGAGGCCCCTGACTTAGATGGCCCTTCTGGTCTCTTCCAACTCTATCATTCCTGGTTGGCTGGGGAATTCTGGGGGTTGAAGTCCGCGAGTCTTAAAGGGGCAAAGGCTGGAGGCCCCTGACTTAGATGACCCTTCTGGTCTCTTCCAACTCTATCATTCCTGGCTGGCTAGGGAATTCTGGGGGTTGAAGTCCACAAGTCTTAAAGGGGCCAAGGCTGGTCTAGCCCATTTCAGACAAACGGTTGTCCAACCTCTTCTTTAACACCACCAGTGTTGGAGCACCCACAGCGTCCAGAGGGAAGAGGTTCCACTCTTTTAAATTTACTTTTCAGCATGCAGCCAGCGCGAATTCTTTATGTTTCATGCTAGATCTGAATTCGCAGCCCACCTGAGAACTGTGGCTGAGAATTTCAGAGAGCGGAAGTCCAAATATTCAGCTCCCCAAATTCCCCTCTGGCCCCTCCCCGCCTCCCTGACGAAGACTCGCCTCGATCTTCTGGAAAGAGTTGGTGATCATGGCAATGAGCATGTTGAGGAGGACGATCACCATGACGATGGTGAAGACGCCGTAGAGCACGCGGCCCACCAACTCAGCCATGAAGTACTGGGGCATGTCGACCACCTTGTGTTCCTCCATCCCCATCATTGTCCAGAAGAGGAACTGGAAGGTCTCGTTGAAGCTGCACGAGACAAGAGTTATCCGGTGGGGGAAAGCTCCGAATTTATTTTATTTACACACACTGGGAAGGACGCCAAACTCAGAGAGGAACCATAAACTAGAGATATTTCCACGCTTTGTTTCCAGCACTGGCCCATACGCAGGTCCGTCCTCTTATCCAGTTGTCACAGCTGCAGCACATTTCAGGGGATCAAGGCCCTTTCCTCCCTCATAGACCACGCCATTCACGTTTCTCCCTTATCCTCTCCTCCCTGCGTGCCCTAGGATGGAGGTGGGATGGGCCTGGGTCCTCCTCTGACTGCCCAGCCGGCCTCTGCCCTTCCCCAGCCTCCTCCACAACCCCCAGAGCCACACTCCCACTCCCTGACCACTCTGTGGCTAAAGTCGTATTTCCTGCAATCGAGTGGTTAATCTTGAGTTTTTATCTATTGTGTGCTCGTGTATTGTTGTTGTTGAAGCTGGAGTAAGACCATTAAGACGGGGAGGATGTTGCAACGGATAATTTTATGTACTACGCTTAGGTCGGACCGAAGGGGTAGATAGAGAAGAGACTGACAGACAGACAGATGGAAATGGGGACGGAGAGAGAGAGAGAGAGAAAAATAAGAGGGACCTGTCCCATCCATTCCACCGAACCCCCTTCCTCCTTCAAGGACCCTCAGGGCCCACCCGCCTGGTCTGGCTAAATCCTGGGGTTCCCGGCCAGGCAGGGCCTCCCCTCCCAGGCCCAGCAGCTGCCCTACCTCCCCAGCCGCTCCGATTCCTGATAATGGACATAGATGTTGTTCATGCCACACAGGAAGGCAGTCAGGATGATCATCATGATGAACATGAACCTGGAGAGAAGCCAAGAGGAGGTCAGGCCCAGAGGAGGCGCCCTCCCCTCCACCTTCTCCTCCCCCAGGCACCGGCGGGGTCCGCGGGGCCGTTCCCCTGAGAACGCCCCCGTCTCCTTGGGCCCCTC